TTACTAGAATGGTGCTGGGATAGAGGGGTTGTCATATGAGGAGAAGCTGAAATCTCTGAAATTGTTTTCTCTTGAAAAAAGAAGAGTTAGGAGGGATCTGATTGAGGTGTTTAAGATTGTAAAGGGAATTCATAGTGTTGGTGCATCATCTTTTTTTCATATTTAACAGTGAAAATAGCAGGACTAGGTGACACAAATATACATTTTGGCAAAGTACGAGTCATCTTCAGCTAAGACAGTTTTATTTTTCTGACAGGGTGGTTGGCCTTTGGAATGGGTTGCCTTCAGATGCTGTGGAGGCAGTAAGTTTAAGTGAGTTTAAGAAAAAGCTTGATATGTATATGAATGCTAAGGGCTGACTTTAAGATTTTTTCAAAAATTATTTTAATTTAGTTTAAAGGATGGAACAGCGAAGATGGACCAATAGGTCCCATGTTATCCCAAAACGTTATGTTATGTTATATTTTATGAATCTACAACTACATGCAAATTGTGAGCTGTAGTTTTTCTGTCTATCGAATTCAAGAAATGGTTTGTTTTGTCCATGATATTCCTGCTCTATCTCTGGCAAAGTTTCACCCGTTCCCCTTTTTGGTAGTTATAATTTTGATACATACTACACAAAATATTAGTTTCCATTTTTTGTATGGGCTGTTCTTGACCTAGTGGTTAGTATGCTGGACTCTGGATCTGAGAGTCCAGCATAGAGTCTATGGTTCACATTCTGTTGTCACAGTAAAGTTCCATTATTTGTTTAAAGTAGACCAATGGTTGGGGGTGGCTAACTGTCTTCCCCTAGTCTATCAGCTCAAAGTTAGGGATAATTAGTGCAGATACTGTCTTCCCTCTAGTCTATCAGTTCAAAGTTAGGGATAATTAGTGCAGATACTGTCTTCTCTCTAGTCTATCAGTTCAAAATTAGGGATAATTAGTGCAGATACTGTCTTCTCTCAAGTCTATCGGTTCAAAGTTAGGGATAATTAGTGCAGATACTGTCTTCTCTCTAGTCTATCAGTTCAAAGTTAAGGATAATTAGTGCAGATACTGTCTTCTCTCTAGTCTATCAGTTCAAAGTTAAGGATAATTAGTGCAGACAGCTCTTGTGTAGCTTTCCATGGATGTCCAAAGAAAAATACTCCAAACCTTTTTCTTTCATGCTGGCTTGTTTAAATGTATATTTTTTAAATTATCCACTACTAGATATCTGTCACATTTTCATGATGACAGTAAGTTTTTAAATATTAGCCCAATTTATGGTTTTAGCAGTAAAAGCTGTATAGCATTTTAAGGTAAACATTTTATAAATAATAAATTTAAAAAAGTTTTAGGTATAAAATATCCTCATGACTCTTAGAGTTTCTGTTTTATTTATAACATAGGTCAGCTTTCTGAACTGGTAAACACTGTGGGTTTTATCAGGCTTCCAGAGTTGAATACTACACTTGGACTTGAATATTGTGTGGATCAATGTACTAATGGCCCTTGGTTCATCTATGATGTTCCAGTTTCTCGTTACATGACCTTGGATTATGTGACCCTGCAGTTTAAGTATGTCATCTCTTCATTATTTTTGAACAACTTATAGTAAATTTTTGGATCAGCCACTAAGTTTGAATAAATAAGTAAACTTTGTATCTTCAGTTATTATTGAATTACATTTGAGGGTTATTTCCGGGATACTTGTGACACACTATAACTTAATAACTTAAAATTACAGTGTGAAAGGTGTAAACTGAATACAGTGATAAGTAGTGAGTTGAACTTTGAAATAAAAGATAACATAATCAGAGGCTTTGGAACCATGGGTGCTGTAGCACCCCTGCTTTTACATATTTGACTTATATAGCAACTTTAAGTTGTATTATTATATTCATTTTCTAGGGGTATGCCCCCAGACCCCCTAGATTGAGCTGCTCCTTATACTCTCAATCTCTCATTATAAAATCTGCGTGTCTAGCCAAGCATCCCCACTTTTACATATTTGACTTATATAGCAACTTTAAGTTGTATTATTATATTCATTTTCTAGGGGTATGCCCCCAGACCCCCTAGATTGAGCTGCTCCTTATACTCTCAATCTCTCATTATAAAATCTGCGTGTCTAGCCAAGCATCCCCACTTTTACATATTTGACTTATATAGCAACTTTAAGTTGTATTATTATATTCATTTTCTAGGGGTATGCCCCCAGACCCCCTAGATTGAGCTGCTCCTTATACTCTCAATCTCTCATTATAAGATCTGCGTGTCTAGCCAAGCACCCCCACTTTGCAACTCTTTCCTACACCACTGATAATTGAAGTATATGATACACAATAAAGGAGTTATATGTACAACTGTAACTGCATGGTGATGGTGAATCAAACCATTTAATAAGATCAAATAAGGTTTGGAGATTAAGATTTGAGGACATCTCTAGAAATCAGTGACCAGGAAAGAGATCTGGACTTGAGTCCAAGTAGCTCATGCAGTTAATAAGAGTATTAAAACTGTAAGGGGTCAGAAATATGTAAATAAAAATTAGTAGTGAAAAATGAATAAAAACCATTCTGATATCCAATTTAATATTTAACTCTTAATCAGTTTTATCTCAGTATATGTCAGACTTGGCCTTTTATTAATGATATTGTTACGACATTGAAGTCACGTGACTAGTATCATGCCACGTCATTCTCGAACTTTCATGTCTTTTCCTTAAATCTTGTGATATTTCTAGATATAGTGTAGTCTTGTATATATAAGACCGGCCATGAAGCGACGGGGAAGTAGTGAGTAATTGAAATGCAGTCAGAGAGTGTGTAATTGAATGGAGTATTGTTGAAGTCGAGCACGTGAGATGTTTGTTATAGAGCGACTGTTGAAATTAAGTGTATCGTAAAGTTGTATTCGGAAAGAATAAACCAGTTTTATTTAAAAAAGGACTTGTGTCGCTAAAGTTTCGTCGGAAGGAATTTATGGAAAATTAAATAACGAACGGAGATGTAACAATATTTATGCTCATTATAACACATGAAGATGTTAGGAAATCTTTCCTATATAGGGCTGCTGATGACAGTTAAAAAAAACATCCAGCATGGATTTACCTATTAGAGATGTACATGTAAAATGTATTTTTGTACAAACCATAATTTGTTCCTTGAACATTAATTGTGAAAATTGAGCAGTAAGACGTATTGAAATAGTAATATTTAAAAATAAGCTAGCTCAATCTTAATACATTAAAACTGGTATAAGGTTCATAATTATCTTTTCTTCAATTTTCTAAAGTATTGTAACAATTCAAACAAAATGGAAAACAATCCACCTTTAAATCCACTTTACATTAATATCTTAAAATCTATAATCTACAAACTGAGTTGTGGGGAATTCCAGCTTTATACAAACAAATCTCCAAACATTTCATCACAGTGTTTTACCCCTTTTTTTTTATCTTTAAAGTGATATGATGGAAGTACTGGTACACAGAGGATAAAGGTACTTATCAAATGCCACTGGAATCATTATGATCTAATTTAAAGATTGTAAAACAATGTATATTTCTAATAAGATATGTATTTTGTGGTAAGAATAGAAGTTAATATTGTAATATGTAATATTATAATATTAACGGTCAACATTTTGATGGTCAACATTTTTCATCAGTATTGATTCTATTCACTAATACCTTAATTCATCTAATAACTTGGTGCATTTAAATTTACTGCCAGATGCCAAATCCTTTTCATAAGTAATGTGACTTTAAAATTGCATATATACACCAATAGGAATATGTTTAAATTATTTTACATGTTTAATGTTTGTTTTTTTTAGTTTGTCACAGAGCATTCTCATGGAACTATGTACATTTGAAGAACCAAAAAGCTGTATAAATGTGAAACCTAGCTCTTCGTCTCGGCAGGAAGGAACTGGCCACTCTTTCATGGTAAATCTTTATCATGTATTGTACCTAAGTTGTATGGTCATAATAGTAAGAATCTTCAGTATTGAATCAGTAATGGTGAAAAAAATTTTAATTTACAATGTTAAAAAGATTTTTTAAAACTTATCTAACTGCTTCTATAATCCCATGCATCTAAACCGTTAGATTTTAGCATGTATATAAATTAGAAAATATATTAAATTACTGATTTTTTCTAGTTCAAAAATGGATGATTCATAATTGTTCAAAACTTCTAGGTACAATTTTATAATGACAATATAAAAAAAAAGACTAAAGACAAACAGAATACCAATTAATTCAAATATATGAATCAAACTAATTTATAAACAAAAAGAAGCATTAAAAAATAGATGCAATAGTAGAAAAACTAAGTATTAACAATGAAAATTTTCAGCTTTCTTTCCAACTGAAGAGTTCAGAGAGTTAATATATCACCAATTTTTGGTTTGAAATACATTAAAAACTGATTTTGTGTGTCATTACAATAATAGATAATTAATGTAATCATCCTGACTTGTAAGAAGTGAATCAAATACACACACATATATATGTGTATATATTTAAATTATCAGTATTATCCAATAT